AATTATTGATCTGAACCAAACTTGGCATGAATACTCAATATACCCAAATGTGAACACTGGTGGAGTTTGGGAAAAATAGACTTGACATTTGAGAGTTGTAGTTGCTAGGACTTATTGTTCATCTACAATCAAAGAGCATTCTGAACTCCACCAACGATAGAATTGGGCCAAACTTCCCACACAGAACACCCATAATACTGCGTTTTCTGATGGTCTGTGACCACTCCTCTGACACTCTCTCGTGGCCCCCAGGTTGAAAAACACTGATCTATCCCATCTCAGCTTGACCCAGGAATTTGCTCTTCCAGTGAATCCACCCATTAAACCACGCTGATCTAATTTAAAAGCATATACATTAACTGAGTTTTAGATAGGAAGTTTTCCCATTTGTACCTGGAGGAACAAGATGGTGAATCTGGGCCCTTTCAACTGTTGTGTACTTTGCTTCCTGGCATTTGAATCTTGGCAATACTGATATTTAAAACGGCAAAGCACCATTTGATATTTAGCAACAGGAATTGCAGATGTGTATTTGTCACCAAAACAAGGCTGTAAACTCTTATCCTTCTAGAGCAGGGGTCCTCAAACTAAGTTTATATTTGTTAACATTGTTCCTCATTTTAATTATTGTATTGTTTTAAAGTGTTTATTTACACTACAAATAAGATATGTGCAGCGTGCATAGGAATTCATTTTTTTTTTCAAATTATAATCCGGCCCTCCAGCAGTTTGAGGGACTGTGACCCGGCCCTCTGTTTAAAAAGTTTGCGGACCCCTGTTCTAGAGTTTCCAATTAAAACATATACCAAATTCAGATCTTTCTAGAGTTTGCTAGCGGGATCATCTATAACAGGGGTCCACAAACTTTTTAAACAGAGGGCCGGGTCACAGTCCCTCAAACTGTTAGCGGGCCGGATTATAATTTAAAAAAACATGAATGAATTCCTAGGCACACTGCAAATATCTTATTTGTAGTGCAAAAAACATTTAAAAACAATACAATAATTAAAATTAAGAACAATTTTAACAAATGTAAACCTATTAGTATTTCAATGGAAAGTGTGGGCCTGCTTTTAGCTGATGAGATAGGATTGTTGTTGTTATTGTGTGCTTTCAAGTAGTTTCATACTTAGGTTGATCCAGAGCGAGGGCCGGGTAAATGACCTTGGAGGGCCGCATCTGGCCCCCGGGCCTTAGTTTGATGACCTCTGATCTATAAGATCCCATATTACACCGATTCTACAACAACTGCATTGGCTACCAATAGAACATCGGATCGCTTACAAGATACTGATCTTGACATTTAGAGCTCAAAATGGCCAAGGACCTTTATATCTTAGGGACCGCCTTATTCCTTTTCTCCATCAGTGATCACCTCGATCCATCCTGGAAGCTACAAGGCATATAGCTTTTTTGACCTATGCTCCAATTCTGTGGAACTCATTGCCTCCATATATTAGATCAATGTCGGAGTTGCGACCTTTTGTAAAGGTGCTCAAGACTTGGCTGTTTGGTTGTTCATTTAAGTAAAGTGATCAGATCTAATTTGCCAAATAGTCACTGTTGTATGTTTTTATGTTGAATGTTTTTATATTGTGTAAATGCTATTTTAAATTGTAAGTCGCTCAGAGCACCTTGGTGGAGAGTGACTAATTAAGAAATAAAGTGAAGTGAAGTGAAGTTTTCAAACAAAATATGAACAGAATTTGTTACTTTGGATCTTACCTTCGGTGCTATACACACAAACACACATAGCATCCTTTTCCCGGCTTTCCTTCTAACTAAGGCCTGAAGGAAGTAGGCATATTGACTGCAGCTGCTTTGAATCAAGAGCAGGAGGTGGAAGCTTGGAGTCCAGCACAGTCACTTTGTACTTTGTGAAAGAGCCCAAGGAAAACTATCAGGAATATATGTACCTTTGGGGGGTAGTTTGCCAATCCCAATGTAGCCTATCCATGGAGAAAGGCATCTGCTGAAATGGCTCATTGTTTTCTGTCCACTATAATTGAAAATGTTTGCACCCCCATCTTTTCTGCTTTTTACAAAAAAAAAAGTCTGTCCAGAGATTGTTTGGCTACCTGTCTTCCTGAAAAGGGGCCTGTTGTGGAGACTCTGTATCTGGGCTGTCTTACATACAGACGACCTGAAATTAGGCTCCTGAGCTTGCTTACAGAATAAAATACAAGACAGGCTTGGCCTGGCCACTTAACAGATAGGCATCTAGATGTCGGAAAGCATTAAAAACCAAACAAATCCCCATGCACATGTCAAAAGCAAACTGGAGAGACTGGCAGTTGGACTTAATTTGGAAGAAAGCTAAAGAAAACAGGAAGAAAAAAGAAAGCAATGCAGCTCTCCCCGTACATACTTTTTGTTCTGTTTCATCTTACAAACAATTTAATGGCCACCCCAGCCCTCAATCTCTCGTCTTATTTCTTCCTTTTGCTGCCACACACTCTTCACACATCAAAACCTATTTTCGGCTGGCTGATGAATCCCAGATGTCTAGGGAAGGCAGCAGGAGCTACGGTTGTTCCATTCGCGGCTTCACACGGCTTTCCTGGCAGCCTCCTGTGTGAGATTCAGCCAAGTGGGAAGAGCATAACAAAAGTGGGAAATGAAGGAGTCTGCTCCTCACTCACTGTGTGTGTGTATGCCTAAGTGTGCATGGCTCTGTTGCATACACATTCATGCAGGGCACTGGAAGAGAAAGTTAGGAGCTCAAAGAGCCAAGGTGACATCGGTACTGAGGCCCATGTGTCTACTTCTTTCTGTTTGCACCGAGATGAAACTGGAGAAGCAGCAGGTGGATCTAGCAAAGGGTTTGTTGGAAATGCAAACAATGCAGGCACCAGGGGATGACCCTTAAAACCATGGCTAATATATCCCTTGCTCTCTAGCTCTGGCACAGAGGCAAAGGAACTGCCTGCAGCTGTTCAAGGGTTTCTGACATTTGGAGCAGAGAGAAGGGCTCAGGAGTATTGCTAAAAGAACACTGCAGGAATTCTAACTTACTGATGTATTATCTTTTCCAAGTGCTCAGCCATGACAAGGGGTCCCTGGGGGTTCCTGCAGACAAGACTTTTACTGTGCATGCACTCTCCTTCTGGCCCTGAATTTTACAGGGGGGTCCAGACAGCCTCCTCTCCTATTTATAATCTTCCCGTGTTTTCCAATTTCTCTGCTTCTCATTTTCTCTAATCAAATAAGCATGCACAAAATGTCAAGAGAGGAAATGAAGAAGAGCTGCACAACTATTCTTCATTAGTAGTACTAAGTGCCATCTAGGAATGCCTTGGGTACCCACTATCTCTCAGTTTTACCTTGCAGGGTTGTTGTGAGGCTGGCATCAGGGAAATAACCATGCACATCACCACCTCAACCTCCTCTGAAGATATCATGTAAGGAAGTGAGCAAGTAATCAAGTTACTTCCATAAAAATGAGCAACCTGGTTGTACAGGACTATCTTCCACCTCCTCAGCCACTGGATCAGTGGTGATGGACATTCTCCCCCTCCAAATAGCTTTTATTTCCACAAAAACTTTGATCAACTTGAGAAACTGCAAGTCATTTCTGGTGTGAGAGAATTGGCTGTCTGCAAGGATTTTGCCCAGGACATGCCCGGATGTTGGATGTTTTGCCATCCTTGTGGGAGGCTTCTCTCATATCCCCACATGGGGAGCTGGAGCTGAGAGGGAGCTCAACCCGCCCTCCCCGGATTCGAATTGCTGACCTATTGGTCAGCAGTCCTGCTAGCACAAGGGTTTAACCCATTGCACTACCGGGGGCTCCGGTGTTGAGATGTGTTAGTCTGATTGAAAATGGCACATCCATACTTGCCCTGGTGAGCTTATAGCTGAGATTTTATTGATTATTATATTTATAGAATATGCTGCCTTTCTCCCAGAGCAGTATCCAGGGTGGCTTCCAAAACAATTTAAAATGTTCACAATAATAAAAAAAATGAAAGCAGATAAAACAGTATAGAAACATTTTAAAACACCCACAAGTTTTAAAAAAGTAAAATAACCCCATAAAAAGCTATCTTGTTTAGAGATTGTTGATTGGGAACGACTTTGAATATTGGTGTAAGGAAAGCAGGGAGTTCTCCAGAAGAAGCACATTCCAGAATGGGAGTAACTACTGAGAAGGCTTTCTCTCTCGGCTTCACCAAGTACGACTGTAATGGTAGTGGGACTGGGAGAAAGCCTTACCTAGTAGATGTCATGCTTCTGACTGGTTCATATAACAAGATACAGTCTTACAGATAGTCTGGACCAAAGCTGTAGAAGAGATTCAGACCTGATTCACCTGGTTCCTACCCACTACATAACACTCTCCAAACAACAAATGAATAATTCTATAAAAAGTAGGAGCCTTCTCCTTTTCCTCTGGCCATTACCTGAAATTAAGCCCTCACTTATAAACATTGCTCCATATTCTGGCATGCAGAAACTCACAACTTCATTGAATGTATGAATTGTCCTTCTTGAGAACAAGTGCCCAAGGTGTGATTGAGCGGCATAAAATCCTCTGCCTGTATTATTTGATCCATAATAACTGATACACATACTCAAGTCATTTCTCGATGCTGCAAGAAAAGAGTGATAAGTATGGATTGTGAGCTCATCCTACACTAGGGATGCAGATGAAAGAGGTGGTTGAATAGAGCATAACATAGCAGGCAAGGTGGGTGCTCCATATTTAATTGCTCCTCCATGTACAGACGTCTCCATTGAGTCTTTTGAGTGCCTCAAAAATAAACCTGTTGACTTTGACAGTTGCCTGATTGCTTACGATGAAAGGTTTAAATAGAGGGCCACAGAGTTGCCTTACACCCCCTCTTGCAGATAGGGGTAGCATAGCACTTGACCCCATTCGCCTCAACCTCTCTTTTGAGACCAATTCCCCCACCTCAACCTAGAATGTTAGTGTGCTTTTCTCAAACTGATATGGCTTTCCTCCTTCTTCTCTCTTTCTCTTTAATTGCTCCACACAGGTTTTTTGTCAACTTCCCATCTGCCAAGCAATACTTCAGCCAATTCAAGCACATGGAGGACCCACTAGAGATGGAAAGGAGTCTGCAGCTGCGTAAACACGGCAGGCGGGTGATGGGGGCTATTAACAGTGTGGTGGAGAATATCTATGATTCAGAAAAGGTTGCCTCTGTTCTAGCATTGGTGGGCAAGGCACACGCTGTCAAGCACAAAGTTGAACCCGTCTATTTTCAGGTAAAATTCATGTATAAAGGAAAACCAAATGTGGATGGGGGTGTCCAGTAAAGCTGATAAAAAGCGTTTTCCATTCAAATGATCACAAAGAAAATAAATGAGTTGGTTAATTGTGACTGACCTCTCGGTTGTCCCAAATCAGCTATTCTTTCTCAATTATAGTCAATTTAGAATCCAAAAAGATAAGTTATATTAGGCTCTTTTAGCAGAAAAAGAGATAAAGAAAACCAATAGCACTTTTGAAACTAACTGGGTAGAAAGAAAATCTAGTTTATGCTGGGAACATCCTTTTCTCAATCTCAAAAATGCCACTGGATTCCTTTGGTTGGTTTAGAATGCTAGTTAATTGGAGTTAAAGCCATTGCAGTTAAAATAATGTCAAACTGCATTGATTCTACAGTGTGGATGCACCCTCACTGTAGCTTATTTCGAATTCTAGTAAACATGTTTATACCAATGTTTGAATTACAAAAATGTATTTGGAATCAGCATCTATCTATCTATTTATCTATTTATCTCGGTATGAGGGAGGCCATAAAGGATGTAGCAAAATTATATATGCATCACTATCACACACACAAAAGACATGTATAGAAGAGAAATAAATATTGAATCTAATGTTTAGAGACAACACTGCAGGTAGAGTTAAAATATTCAATTAATGGAAACACTCTATTATGGATTCTTGGAATCATTATTCCATTTTTAATCTAGTCATTGAAGGCTCCAGGAGATGTGAAATCTCAGCCTACTGAGTCTAATTAAGAAATCAATACATACTTTTGTAGAGTGACCATCAGCTTTCAGTTTTCTAATATTTCTTCCTGCTAACACTCAGAAGCTGTTTCACTGTAGAGCTCACACAGAGTAATGTACACTAATTTTTATATCTACATTTCCCAGTTGGTCTGGATAAATTCATGCATTATGCTTTGGGTATGAGAACTGTTTTATTTTTATTTATTTTTCTGTATGCCAATTACGTAAGAGAATAGATACAAGCATTTGAGTGAAAGGACAAAGGGGTGCTGAACTGCCAACATACCTTTCCCTACTTTTGACTACAGTTGGCCCTGCACATCTGAGGCTTTCACTTTTGCGGATGTTACTATTTATGGATTTGATTAATAGGTTCCCTCTATGGTCATCTTTATGCTGGAGGACTTAGGTATTCTTTGGGAGAACACTTCTCCAGGCATTTGTAGGTCCTCCAGCATGATCTTGTGGTCAACCTCTGCCAAAAGTTGATTTTAGGGTTGTGCTGGAGGACCTAAAGATTTCTGAAGAGGTGTTCCTGCAGATCAAAAAATATATTTTTGATTTGTAGTTTTTCAAGTGCCCCTAACCCCAATGAATGTGGAGGTCTGCAGGTATGTAAATAGAATAGTATAGCCATGGTTTAATTCCTTTCTATCATCCCATTTGATCTTACTTGAATTGTGGGTCCAAGACCACAAAAAGTAATTTCAACTTTGCCATTTCCCATGTGATGTATGCTTCCTTACAACCTGTCATCTGGTAACTGTTCACTAGCTGAGATGATATGTGATCAGGAAAAAGGTTGTAGAACTTGATACTTATGCAGTTCTCCTTAGGAAGTCCAATTGGTCACCTACATTAACCTCTTTCCAGGACCAGGTGGCAAGAAAGCCTCTTTCCTGAGGCTTCTCAAACAAGCTCAATGATGAAGGAACAAAATCACGAATTATTGGATAAAATGTTGAACCAATAACAGTAATGGCATATACAACAACTATCAGTAGTATGCTATATCAGATACACTACTACATTATCAGAATGTTTTCTAATGGATGTTGTGCCACAGACAAATAATAGTATTGTATTAACATCGCCAGGGCTTTTACTTCAAAGCTTGGTCATCCAAGGGTGCTGCTGCTTCTACTCCACTTATTTAGTTGTTGTTGATATCATTGTCATATTTAATTTGTGAACCACCCTGTTAATCTGCATCTTGAACAGAAGATGGAATTCTTATCAATAATTCTCAGCTGGGGATTCAGGTAAAAATAGACTGATAGTACATATGTTGTTTCAGTGTTAGCGAGGCTGGGAAACCAGTCCTAACTCATGGCTGCTGCTGCTTCTTCCAGATTCTCATTGGCGTTCTGCTTGAAGTGCTTACAGAAGAATATACCAATGAGTTCAGCCCTCCAGAGGTCCAGAGAGCCTGGGCGAAGATGAAGAGTCTCATCTGCACTCACGTGACGGCTGCGTACAAGGAGGTGGGCTGGGTGCAGTATCCAAACTCCACCATGTGAGCAGACCAGGGAAACAGGGCAGGGGCGGGCTGGTTGGGGGTTACCCTCAAGGCTTTCCTTCTTTTCCTTTTCTCACTCCACTTTCAGTACTAATTCTGTAACCTGGCAGCAAGATTTCTACTGTCACACCAAGAAGAAAGAAATGTTATCCTTCTTTCCAAGAAAATACTGGGAAATGCTTTGTAGTTGAGCAATGATTATACTAATTTGCCTATGTTGAAGATGATAGAAGGTATTGTGCTTAAGGAATACATGCATAGAGTTTTCTAAACAATTGAGAAGTTTTTCAAAGCTTTTTCACTAATAGCAGAATTTAAATCCTGGTCTTCAGAGTCAGAGTCCAGTGCTCAAACCACTTTACCGTGCTTGTTGTCTTTCTATATTTCACAGTCCACATGAGGAGATTAGCAAATATTAACTCTAGTCCTTCTAATGGTGGGCGTGGAAGGGAAAGTAGTTCAGTTAATAAGGAAGTGCAAGGGTTTGAGCCAGATCTCAAACTTAAGTCCTCTCCTTTGGATTACGGGTTTGTTTGTTTTTGGCACTTCCCTATACTGCTGATTCCCCTTCACTGAGAGCAGTGAAATGGATCTCATACAAAGTCTTGTTCATGTTTTGTGCTTCAGAAGGAAAGACACTTTTGTCTGTGGAAACAGTGGGTGCAATAAAGAGGGAAGGGAGTGGGGCTGAATTATTTATAGCTTCACCTTCTAAACCTAGGGTACATTGTACTATGGGCTGCCCAGTCAATGTACTTTAGGGGAGGGATTATCAATCCTGTTTCCTTTGTTTTATAACTGGCAGGATATTTCATTGTAAGAATATGAAAAAAAAGAGGCTTGAGGTTTTGATTGTCTAGGACTGAAAAAAAACTTTTACCATCTCAAATGTATTCAGTTTATCCTCACATTTTTCATACAGTGAAAATCTGTCTTTTATTATTATACTTTTATCTTTACTGTTTATTTATTTATTTACTATGCTTATATACCGCTGTATCTCAAGCCCGAGGGCGACTCACAGCGGTTCACAAACAGTAAAGACAATAAAAACAGCAATAGTTCAATAAACAATGACAATTAGTTTACACATTTCCCTTAATAACTAATAAACAATCCCAATACACAATTATTACAAACCCCATCCCCAATCGCCTCATCATCCATGCATGATCCAAATTCGTTATCCATGGTTCCGTTCCTATGTTCAGTTACCAGATTGCACTAAATTACTCAAACGCCTGCACAAACATCCAGGTCTTCAACTTTCTACGGAATGCCATAAGAGAAGGTGCCAGCCTAATGTCTGTAGGAAGGGCGTTCCACAGCCGAGGAGCCACCACTGAGAAGGCCCTATCTCTCGTCCCCGCCAACCATGCCTGGGAGGCCGGCGGGATCAAGAGCAGGGCCTCCCCGGAAGATCTCAAAGTCCAGGTGGGTTCATAGGCCGAGATGCGGTCAGAAAGGTATCTTGGGCTGGAACCGTTTAGGGCTTTATAGGCCAATACCAACACCTTGAATTGAGCCCGGTAGCAAATTGGCAGCCAGTGGAGCTGGTGCAACAGGGGGGGTTGTGTGCTCCCTGCGCTCCGTTCCCGTTAGAATCATGGCTGCTGTTTACTATCTTAGTAAATGTATGTGATATGTCTGTGTATTCACTGTGTGTAGTTAAGGCAATGCGATTGACTTTCCTTTCCCATAATTAGGAATAATAATATTTATTTGAATGGTGTTCCTGATGGCCTTTAGTTCTTCTCTTGGAGAGAGATGCTCATCAATCAGGACATTGGTCTAGTATGTCCCCATTATTTTTCAGTCTGTTTCTTCCTTTATTTCCTCTCCTATAGAACACAATGTGAGGTAGGAAGGCAATATAATCCAACATGCCTTTCCCCACTGTGAACTGGAACAACTTTCCCATTTTACAACAGTCTTACTTATATTTGGTTCTATTCTCTTTCTGTTCCTCATTTCAGTCCCTAGTACACGTTCTGTTTTTCTCCTGAAATTCTTTCTTTTATTATTCCAATTTTAAAAATCTCAGTAATAATTCCTAAAATAGTAACCAAAGCTCACACTGTGGTTTTGAGCAAGCATATCTTTTCCAGTTGGTCATTCTTCTGCACATATTGCTTTCAATTAACTGGAATCCACTGTTTTCCCATTCCCTTCAGCTATGAGTTTCACATTCTTTTCTTTGTATTAATTACAAGTAACCATTGCACATACTGGCAATAGTTGCAAATCTGCCAAAAATGAGTATAAAAGCAATGATGCCTTTGTGACTCTAGTTGTTTGGAAGTCAAAGTAAATAGTCTCTTTACTTTCTTTGTGGCTACTACCTCTACAAAACCAATCTAAAACTATACTTCTATTTGTCATTATAGTACCAAACCTTATCTGACAATTTTGCTATATACTTACTTCTAAAAAAAATATCAACACGAAACCGGTATTAAAGTTAGTACTTGGATAGGAGACAGCCAAGGAACCCCAGCTGCTATAGATTATTTATTTACTTACTATATTTACTATATTTATACCCCGCCTTTCTCAGCCCCATAGGGGACTCAAGGCAGCTTATATATATATAGGCAACAGTTTGATGCCAAAAACACACATAATAAGAACATATGCATTAAGATACTATACATTACAGAGAAAGAATTGAGAAATCTGGGTTGCTGTGTGGGTTTTTGGGGGGCTGTATGGCCATGTTTCAGTCGCATTCTCTCCTGACATTTCGCCTGCATCTGCAGCTGGCATCTTCAGAAGTTGTGTGAAAATTCCAGCCACAGATGCAGGCAAAATGTCAGAAGAGAATGCTACTGGAACATGGCAATGCAGCCTGAAAAACTCACAGCAAGCCAGTGATTCTGGCTATGGAAACCTTCAACAACACATTGAGAAAACTACCTCTGAGCATCCCTTGCCTAAGAAATCCCTGTGAAATGTGTGATGCCATCACCATAAGTTGGCAGGCAACTTGAAAGTACATATGCACACATCCTATTTTAGCTGCCAAGTATGCTGCCTATGATTTGTAGTTTGGTTAGAGATAGCAGAGAAGCTCCCTAGTTGAGAATTTGAATTTCCCACCCTAAACCAACTATCCCAAGATTTCATGGGAAGGAACCAGGCCAGTTAAACTGAAACCATAGTGCTATGATTGTTTTGATGTAACTGTGTCTCTGGGACTCTGCAGAATCCCACAGCCTGTGATGACCACCAGGAGCAATCCCAAGTGTTGTCTGTGAAATACCTACATTTAATTTATATGTAACTGATTCTTAAATAGTTCTTAAATCCTAGTGAAAAAAAATGCAATGCTTCCAGGCTATAATTCATGGATAACAAGGCAACTCCTTCCCACTGAGTCATCGAGCTTCATCGCTCTGCAAGCCCAGAGATATTTTTGCTCTTTTCTGTTGCTGATTCACTTGCATAATTTTTGAAGCCTGTGATTCACCTCAGTTATTAGTCTAGATTCTAGGTGGGGAAGAGCGTCAGATCTGGCCTATTTTCAGACAGAGCTCAGGGATATTAGAAGAATATGCTGGGATTCCCTTTCTAGTCTTGATTCATCCTGAGCTAGAACAAAGGATTAGTCAGACAGATGGATGCAGAAAGGAAAGGGGTTTGCCAAGGAGCTGGAGATTCTCCCAGAGGCAACCCAGGCTCAGCAATGAATCAGCAAATAGTAGGCAACCGAGTGCTCTACCCAGGCAAGGATGTAAAACAGGAGTCAGGGAGAAAATGTGTCATGATGGTATGCCATCATTTGGCTTCTTCGGAGCTATTAGAAAATGTCTGTTTTAGACAGCCAGAAGAATTGCTTCATGGATAAACTATGTGGCCATTACTCTTCAACAGAGTAATTGTTGCTAACTATGAAAGGGAAATGTTTTACTCAAGGAAGGGACAGCCCTTTTTATTCTCTCTTTGAGGATTTCCTGTGAATGACATTCCTTTAACAAAAATTATGTTTGTTTTTTTGTGTTAGGAGCAACTTGAGAAACTGCAAGTTGCTCCTGGTGTGAGAGAATTGGCCGTCTGCAAGGACATTGCTCAGGGGACGCCTGGATGTTTTGATGTTTTACCATCTTTGTGGGAGGCTTCTCTCATGTCCCCACTCTCCCCGGATTAGGTGAAACATATGTCTGTATAAATGACAGTTATGTGAATACATAAGATACTTCAGCATACTTTAATGTGGGTCATTAACCCTACTGTACTTGTAACATACAGACAGCCTTCCACATTCTCTGGAGTTAGGAGTTCAGAACCTCTGTAAAACTGGGGAAACCACAAATTTAAAATGTGCTATTTTTTACCTCTAGGGCCCTTCCAGACAGGCCCGATATCCCAGGATATGATCCCATGTTTTCTGCTTTGAACTGGATTATATGAGTCTGCACTTCCATGAATTTAGGAGAAGGTTAATCTGAATTGATATGGTAATCAAATAAACTTCCACACAGCTTCCACTCTTTAGTCATGCCAATCTGGAATTTACCCGAAATCCATTTTCAACATTCATACAAATGTATTTAGAGCAGTGGTTCTTAACCTGTGGGCCATAGACAACAAGTGGGCCACGAGGATGAAAATCTGGTCCGCGAGTCTCCTTCCTCCTTATTTATTTTATTTTATTTTATTTCTACTCCTTTCATGCTGCCTGCCACTCCTTCCCTGTCGCTGACCATGGCATATGTTCTGTATCAGAAACTAGTGCTGATGTGGTCTATCCAATGCAATTTTCTGAACTGGCACCCCAAATCAAATCTAAAGTTGACCAAAACTGATTCGTAACGTTTTTGGTACTAATGTTGGAGAGTGGTCCCTGGTCAAAAAAAAAAAAAGACTGGGAACCACTGATTTAGAGGGAGGAAGAAATAGGGAACCAAGTGTTTTTTCCTAGATTTTTTAACATAGTAGCAATACTAGCAACAACTGGAGAAGTGTTTAGCAGAATGTCCTTCCAGCATCTTACTTGT